ACTTCATCCTGGCTGGTTAGGGAATAGGGATTTAGGTTTGGGAGTAGATGGTAGGATCAAATTTAGGAGGGAGGAGGAAAGATAGGGAGTACAATCATATAGAGAGACAACAGTCTTCCATCACTTCCCTTGGATCTGCTCATCATCCGATTCCAAGTTTTGCCCCATTCCATGCAAAACCTTCAGACACATCACATCCATTCAAAGTCTCACTCCATTCACAAGGCAACAGTGGGAAACCATCACAACTTGGGATAACACACTTACCGTTTTGATAGTAACAGCTGATTTAGTTGCTCTTAAATAAACTGTGATTGGTCTTGGTCCTGACTGGCCAACTGCTCTATTCTATTTATTCGACACCTCATTATCCCTTTCGTTGTATTCCGTATCTGTAATTGGACGCAACACTGGAATGAAAAACCTAGGTTGTAGTGCAACAGAAACTCGTCTGAGTTGAAGACTTGAGGCCTTTTTCGCTACACGCGAGGCCTTTTTCTCTACATGTCGACTTCAAACAGAATCTCTCGCTTGCTGTCGCGCAAACACACAGGCAAGAAAAGGCCTTGACAGCAAAAAAACATCCATTAAACGGGTAGAGACAGGAGAGGGAGACAGATAAAAGGAGAGAAGAAGAGAGAGAGCAGAGTGAAGAGGGAGACAGACAGGGAGTAGCAGAGGGCTTCTCATTAGAGAATCTCTTGTAACAGAGAGTTTTGAAATGACAGCAGATTTACGCGAGAGCATAATCCGTCTGCACTATGCCACCGCTCTGCTAACTCCTGTGCCACTCGGGAAGGGGTGGGAGGGTGGGGATGCGGGATGCCCGATTTCCAAGTAGCAATATTCATCGGCAGCAGAGTGGGAGCTAAATGATGGACGCAGGCTGTGGGAATCACAGTAAATGCAGATAGAACCACTTGGGAGTCACCACAATGGTGAAAAGCTGAAACTGGCATTTTCTGTCTGATACTGAACACTGTTATTGTTTTAGGTCTAACTCAATAGCATACCTGCATTAGGCCCATCATAATCTATTGTATTAGTCACTTTAGCTGAAAACAGTGGCATCTGGTGCGGTCTTCTGCAGCTGTTGCACATCTGCTTTAAGGTTTAATATGTTGTGTGTTCAGAGATGCTCTTCTGCATACCCTGCTTGTAAATAGGGGGGATTATTTGAGTTACTGTTGCCTTCCTGTCAGCTTAAAGCAGTCTGGCCATTGTCCTCTGAAATCTCTCATCAACAAGGCATTTTTTCCCAAGGAACTGCTGCTCACTGGAAATTTTCTCTTTCTGGACCATTCTCTGTAAACTCTAGAGACGGTCGTGTGTAACAATCTCATCAGATCAAGACCAGCCCATCTGACACCAACAACCATGCCAGATACTAGGTCACTTAAATTGCCTTTCTTCCCCATTTTGATGAACCTCCCATACTGAAGTTCATTTTGAACATCTTGACATGTCTACATGTCAAGATACATACACCCTAAAATCATTTACTGACATTTGACATCTTCCAAAAACACAGCAGAACAAAAGAGGAAATCCTACCTGTGTGCGTGCGTGTGTGTGTCTATGTGTGTGTGTTGACTGACCAGGGCAAGTTGCCAATTATTTAAAAGCAATGGAGAATGTCAGAGCTTGGCTGCAATATATTCCAGTATGTGCTGCTACAAAAATAGAGATGTTTCCATCATACACAGAAACATGGATCAGCATATTTACAAGTAAACCGTGTGAACTAAAAGGTCAGTCTTCTGACTGCTGGTAAGGCTCAGATTCAGACAGGTTTCTCTCTCTTAGCTCTTTATGCTGTCAGACAGAGCAGACACACCATATATGGTCATCTCAGGTGCACAGCTCTGGATGTGATCCCCAACCACCAGCCATTCAAATCTTCTGCTTATGAGGGGCAGCCAATCACAAGAAAACTGACTTAAAAGAAGAGGGAGGGATGCACTCTGGGCCAGTGTAAAATAAGCAAGGATTACTCTAAACTGTGACTCATGCAAATACACTCAGGAATTAAAAATGAGCATCATAGGTTTAGTTTAAGTATATTATTGTCAGAGTAATAACATTAATATCTCTTCGCTATTTGCTAGCATAATGAAATACTAACCAAATTCTAATGAAAACCACATGCTTATTTAAACAAAATGATTACAGTAATCTAATTTACAGTTTCTGGGACAGTAAAAATATAACAGGGGCTTGAAATTGTACCATGCTTGCTACCAGAAGTTAAAGAAGAGTGTTAGCTGCCTTTTGCAGCAAGTATAAGCATATAGTGCTTGTTATCTTGTGTATCTGTTGCACTAAAGTGATTTATAGCTACAAAGAGGCAAATAAAACAGTCACTGCTGGCTTCCATTTTCCTTTATGGGCCTACTTTAAAAGCCACAATTTGCACTATTTGTGAGTGGATGGCATTATAAATAGGCTAGTGTACATGCAGAGTTTTGTTATTAGTTTATCCCTTTTTTAAAAAATTTTAAGGAAAAACTAATCCCCCTTAAAAACCAAGGAATTGGTGAAATGAAAAAAAATTTAAAAAAAAAAAGGTTCAAATATTATTTTTCTATTTTATATGATATATTTTAAGTCTGTTGTTCAGTACTTTGGTCAGTGGTTACTGTTTTTAAAGCGCTTTATAAATAAAGTTGGCTTGGCTCCCAAAACAGTTTGGAGCTCGGATTTAAGTCACGCAGTTTACACAGTTGTTTAACAGTAAATCAAGGCACTAATGAAAACTGCATGCTTATTTTAGCTATCTTACATACATGCGTTTGCACAGTATTTCACTGAATTTTAAAATTAGAGGTGACAGACTAAGCCCTGGGGCGTCAGCTCACCTCCCACTGGGTGGGGAGCTCCACTCAGATCCTATTCAAGAATGATGGACGCTCATCATCAGGAAAGAGAAGGGGGAAAAAATACAATGAGGCAAAAGGAGACAGAGAGAGTGATAAAAGACAGGCAGGGAGCAGAGAGGGAGCATGTCAAGTTGCTAGGAGCGAAGTGTGACTCCCCCTAAGCAACAAAGTAGTCACCTCAAACGGTGTTTTAATGAGGATGCACTGGGAGGATAAAAACAAATTATGACATTGATGTATTGGTTTGTCTCACAGCTTCTCGCACAGCCTATTTTTCTTTTCTTTTCTTTTTTTTAAAGCACAGTTTATGAACAAAGGAAGATGGCTTAGACTGGAGCATCAATTTACTAAGCCCCGAGGTTCCTGAATCCATCATACACGGGCCTATTAGACTGGATATCAGAGGAGCGACAATAACTGGTGACACAGAGAACATCAGGCAGCTCTTAGCACGGCCAGTATGATAAACTGGGTGTCAGTCACCGCTGGTGCTGTACAGTGAGCAGTCATACATACCCGTGTGACTAATCGCTGTCCCGTGCATTTTGTGAGCGCAGCCTAGCTTGAAATTACATGTTTCTGGTTTTCCTTTCCCCCCTCTCTGGTGTGTTCAACCCCAACCACACACACACAACACGTGGCTGGCTGGTGGAGCCCGTTAACGGCGGTAGTTTAGTGAACGGGAAATGATACATGACAGGGCGCTTACGCACCAAATCTTTCACGTTGTGACGCGCGCGCACACACGCACACACACATGCGCTTTTCCATCTCCGCTCGGCACATTTAGCTTACTCCGTCACGCTATATCTTGAGTTCACTTCAACCTGTGACAGTGAGCAGAAGGCTTATTCATTTCGTTCCGCCATGAATATAAATGGCACACAACATCACACAAATCAAATGACTGTCTGAACGTCTAAACCAAAAGCATTTCTCTAGCTGTCACCGGTGTTTTATAGTGCAAGGCTCCCAAATCTAAAGTAAAAAAGAACTAAAGAAAGAAGGATTTCTTACTCTTGGAAACGCAACCCCGCCTTTAAAGTTGTTTTGAAAGCTGTAAACTCTAGAAGATAAGTTACTCAATAGTGAGAAAAGTTATATAAACATTATGTGCACTTTAAAAAAAATGCGCAAACTCAAAACGCCAAGAATCATATACACATTGGTCCCATTACTTTGCAGAAATTAAAGAAAATCCTATAGTTGTTTTTACTCACGATCACGCAAGTCCCGGTCTTACGGTGTACTGGAAGCCTCCTCACGCTTGAGTCAGTCTACGCGCTTCCCTCTCCTCCCTCTTATTTCTTTGCGTGTGCGCTCCAGTCACTGCTGCTAGAATGAGACGCACTCGCTCTCCTCTCTGACAGCTCCAATAGGTAGAAAACACGAATCCTTCATTTAGAAACAACTGACTTCACTGCAGGCTAGCGATAAAGTCCCTCTTCCTCCCTGCAGCAGCAGCGTGTGGTAGAGACGAGTGAAGGAGAGGGCGGTTTATCTCATCCTCTCTCCTCCTTCCTGTTGTTCCTCACTCGCTGCTCTAGGTTTGGATTCTCTGAAAACACTTTAGGAGAAATATGCACCCCTTTAGATGAGGGAGAAAAAAAAAAGTTACCTCAGTGACTACCCCGGGGTAATTTACAGATGTTTTTGCTCCAATAAGTAGTCACAAGTCACATTCTGGGTACTATTGGGATCATTAGGCTCTGAGACTTTTGTTTTTCCAAGGTCTTTCCCCCCTTTTAAAATTCATATTTCATAAGAAGCAATCCAGACTTATCCATAATTCAGAAACGTCTGACTGAGGGGGGGTGGGTGCGGTTTGGTGGGTGGCCATGGCGCTGAACAGAGCACCCTGGGGAACCCTGTCACACCACCAGACTGTGACAAAAACAAAACGCTGTGACCAGGAGATGATGGGCTTGTTGCCAGGGAAAGACAGGCAATCCAACCCTGACTGAAAACTAGCAGCCACCGACAGGCTTATGAGGCCTGGGAGCAGCAGCTGCAGCCGGTATGTTGCCTGTCTGTACCTCCACACAGATCACCAAAGTATGACAAACAGGAAGTTTCAAAATAAGCAAGAGTGTCTAAAGAGATGCAAAAACATTAACAGCCTCAAATGATAACACATTTCAACTTTTATTTATCAACAAACCCTGCAAAACACGAACAACAGTAACAACCCTAACAGTGCTGTGCCCAGGCTCTCTGAACAAAACAACACAATCATGTCTGCGCACAGCAACAAGACCTCAGAGGTCAATCTCCATATGAAACTACACAGAACTGGGTCAAAGAAAAGCCGTGATGTACACCACACACCGATGTGCATTTTCAATCACACAAAGCTACTTCTACTATTAAACCTCAAACACATTTTAAGTGCACTTGCTGGAGGAAAAATGCCTAAAAACATTTCTCAATTATGCCATATCTGTAACACTTTGTGTAAACGGCACTAAAACCCCAAAACAAATACAAACTAAACCCAAACAGTGAACCTTGTCTTAAAGAGATGAAATACAGCATATTGTTTTAAATCATGTCCTTCATTTTTTTAAGTATGAGTTGATTAGTTGAGTTATTGTAAACAAAAATTATGCCGTGATTGTCCTTGAGTGTGAACCCTGGAACCACTGGACAAACATTAGACCAATGATGAAGATGAGAAGTAAGTAATAATGATGAGGCGACTGAGATTGGTTTACTGCCTCAACCTACACCCCATGAATCTAAATAAACAAAAAAAAAAAAGAGGAAAAAAAAGGAGGGTGGTGCGCTTCAAATTAATGGAATGACCAAGTGCTCTTATGCTATAGTAAACAAGTTAATGAAGATTATTAATCTGAGGAGCATTAGACCGGAACTTGAGTTAGAAGACAAATATGCCAATGCTGGAAAAAGATTGAGGTCAAGACATTGTAGTAATATACAAATATATACATATGTACAGAGAGCCCAAGCACAGGATAAAACCCTCCAACCAAACATTTAAAATAATTCCAAAAGTAAATTAAAACTAAAATATAAATAAGCACAAAAAGTGGGCTTAAAAAAGTTGTCCCGTTCTATGTTTGGGATACTTAAAAAGAAACCAAAAAAACCAAAAGTGATCCCATGTGCCAGCTGGTTTGGTGAGGGTGCTCTGCTCTTCCTGTGCCGTCACTGTGATCCATGTGGGTTAAAAGCAGCTGACTGCAGGTCAGCACTACAAATTGTAGTTGTGGGATCAGATTAGCTGAAGTGTAAAGATCATGCAGTTTGGTGTTAAAATGGCTCTCAAACGTTTGAGGCACGGAATGAGAGGCGAGGGCATTTGGAAAACAGCCTGAAGAGTTGGGTTACTTCAGATGTCCAGAGAATCAAGGTGTAATCTTGTCTAAATTCTGACTCCCTGAGGCCTGCATGTGAGGAAGAGAAAGGACAAATAATTAAATCACAAGTAAGTAAAGTTTTTTTTCTCAAATCACACAGACAAACAGAAAGAGTCTTTTTAAAAGTGTTGGTCAAACATTTTTGCTTTGTGTGACTTTAGTAAAGATTAACAAAGTTCTTAGGAAAATACAACCATTTGCAGTGGTCCTGCTTTACCTGGCATGGTTCTCAGTAGCTGTGGACTACAGCACAGTCAGCATGGTCTGGACTCCACAGTCCACAAAACTCTGGAAACAAAGTGTAACACAAGAAAAAGAGTTTGGTGGAATAATCCTATAGATGTGCTTCAAAGACATGAACAACTACAAAAACAAGCACAAACAGAAAAGCACTGGATGAATTGTCAAGTCCACAAAATTAACTTTTGTGGAAAAAAGGGAAGGTTAGAGTGCATTGTTGAGCCATTCTTCAGGATGCCAACACAGGCCAGACAACACCATCTAGTGGTGTACATGGACATCACAGTTCTGGACAACAATGACTTTTGTTCCTAGGGGGGCAAACCAAAAACGGAGGGAAAAGAAAAGAAGGAAAAAAAAAAGAAGAAAAAACAAGGTTCATCTGCAATAGTTACCCAATTCTCAAAGGACATCTGTTTAGTCTTTCTTTTTAATGACTGCTATTCTTATTCCTATTCAATGCAGTCACCTGATTGACAGGCCGTGTCCTCTGGTCCGCCGTCCAGGGAGGTGGGGTGTACTGTGTATGAGGGGAGAGGCGTCAGCTGTCAAACAAAGGGCAACAGACAAACCCAGACTCGCTACTATAGGAGGACGGGAGGGTATGTTGGATTGCGGGGTAAGCAGGGCCAGGTGTACTTTAACCAGATTGAACCCCTCATCTCACATGCAGGAGCATATGTGCAATGGCTGCGAGACCCTTTGTGTGGGGGTGTGTGTTTGTGTGCGTGTACCTGATAGGCATAGGCATTCTGCGCGTAATTCACTGGCATCTGCGGGATCATGACCCCTCCAAAGTTGGCATAGGAGTATGGCTGCAATCAAAGCCAGTAACAACACATGAAACCACAGCACAGAGGTTTGTAGAGCCAAACAACGTACCATTTACTGAATAACCGGCCAATTTGGAGATTATTTATAACAAAGCCACTTACAATTGTTGCCTTTTTGATTAAGTTATACATTATTGTACACTTTGCAACTTTAGTCTTTGTGAGGATTAACCAACTGTCTCAGCAAATACATGTTCCATTTTATATTTCAGAAGTATTATCACGGGAGAAAACACAAAACAAATATATATACACTTAAAAAGAGACTCCAACTAAAACAAAAACAACATGACAATAAAATCCTAAACATTTTACAAATTACAATGATAAAACTTGAATAGCTCCGTTTGTTAAAGTCACATTCATTAAAATAGGTTAACAACTTCGCTGAACATCATCGCACTAGTTTCTTGGCATTATTCCACCCATGCATGTTTTTCTTCTCCAGTAATTGCATGGAGTTTCTCAGCTGTGACTGACAAATCACATTGCCCTCATCTTCCACCTGTTTTCTTCCTTTTCTAGTGGTCTGTTGCTGTTTTTCCCAACCACATTTATTTTGATGTAAAAACTCCCCCCCACTTGTGCTGTTTCACTGGATACAACAAGTACCATCTCAAATGTTTCAGCCTGCTCTTTACTTTATCCCACATAAAAACCACCCCCAGTCCCAAGGAAACACTATTGTATCAATTTCTACATGGAAATTCTTTTGTTTTTGCTCAAGCAGCCGCCTGACTTATGTTTTACAATAGCTTTGGCACTTTCTTGATGATCAATCTAAAGGTAACCATGTTTTCTTATCTAAAATTGGTGGTTATGGCAATATGTAGTTTGTGAGCAAGCGCTTATCGATTACAAATGATCAGCATTTAACAACATTCAATAACAATCTGAAGGTAATTTAAGTGTAAGATACCTGATTGTATGGGTTGCCTCCGTTTATGATGGGCGAAGGTTGTGGGACCCCACCTCCTATGGGTGAGCAGCAAGCACAGTAGAAGTACTGGGTGGGATTCACCCAAGGAGCGGGGCCAACCAGACGCGACGGCATCGACCCTGAATGTGGGGTGGGGGGAATCAGTTTGGCATTAACATTATAAACCCTATTTAGTGAAAACAGAACAATAAGTATATGCACTACCCAACAAACAGAATACATACGAGAGACCCTTTCTTTCATGATGGCAGGGCCCAACTTGAGTTTCCGTCCCTTAAAACTGATCTGTTGCTATGGCAAAAATATTTACAGAAAATGTATATTATTATTCTTCAACATTAGACCTATGCATAGACACAAAATAGATCCAATGACGGGCTTCTTACCTCAATGATTGACTGAATGTTGACATCTTCACTGAAGTACACAAATCCATAACTAGGAACAAACACACAAAATAAATCAGAATATCCAAATATATTGAAGAAGTAATAACATTCAGTCTGAAATATAAGTAGATTAATAAACTTCACTAATACTTCTACATGTTCAATAATCTGATCATCACACTCCAAAATTTAACCTCAGTACGTTGAAACAGAAAGTGAAGCAATAGTCATTTCATTATCTCTTCAAAATCTGGGAGCAAAACCCAAATTACTCTGAACAGAAAAAACTTACCCTTTGCAGATTCCTCCACGGTATGTGATAATCTTTACTTCCTTAACAGTACCATATCTTGCAAAGAAGTCCCGGATTTCATTTTCATCCACCTAAAGATTAAAACAAATGAAGAGAGAAACCGGATTTTTAGCAGACTGGTAACCTGTCCAGGGTGTGTCACACCTGACTCCACAGGCTCCTCACAAATCTCTCCGTTTTCATGTGATTTTTAATAGATTTATAAACAAAATTCTTAAGAAAATGCCCAGAAAAGTCCTATTATTCCCAGGCCTCCCAGGCCAGCTGAGAGATGTAATCTCTCCAGCATGTCCCAGGTCTGTTCTGGGGTCTCCTCCTCCTTTCAAGTAGTGTCTCTACTGTGAGCTGCAGTGCCTGGCTATTGCCACATGTTCTAATGAATACGTTTTAAAAGAACCATGTAGTTTGTTTTTTTTCTTCTCGAAATGTGTGCGGTTAAAGAAAGCAAATTGTTTTTCTTTAAAATTTTGCTCGATATGTTAACCCACCCCCCCCAAAAAAAGATTATACACAATTCACCAAGTTTAGAGTGGCATGTATGTATAATTTTAAGTGATTTAAATTTTAATTATTAATAATTTTTAATGTCATATTTTAGCTTATATCATAATATTATATTATATTATAAATGGGCTCTAGTAAACAGGATTCACAAATTGTAACATTTAAGAAAAAGAAATGACCTCTTTTACAAGCATCCTTAAGAGTCTGCGTTTTTCTATCTTACTCTGTGTTCCACACTATAATCAATCGAGTCCTTTTTAGCCACTGAAAATACATTCGTATCACTGTTTTGTTGCTTTTCTTGCAATTTCTGATGCCCTACGACCAGCTCTGTCTTGAAATTAACATTTCTAATATTAACTAGTATTTAGCTAAATAAGTAAAGGATATTCAAGAGTTCAAAAAACAACTGCTGCTTCTGCCCTATGAAAGGATTATTCTGTGTGACTCAAAATGACTTTTTATCAGTAATGAGATATATGTTAGCGTAAAGGTCAACAAGTCATTTACAACAACTTAAAAATACTGGCGTTTTTTGGCAAATGTCGGATAATACTTTCTGGCTTGACAGCTTCGGCATTACCTTCATGTCGATCCCGCCAACAAAGAGGGCATTAGGAGTCAATTTGCCCTCAGGTAAGATGTATCCATTTGACAACTTCAAAGAAGGTAAGGTCTGGTTAGCGCTTCTGGGCTTGTTGATATCCTTAAAATTTAAAAAAGAAAGAAAGCAACAAACAAGCCATTTCAATTCACAAGCTTATATTTCGGGAATATACATATCTCTACAAGATCGCGAGTGTGCCTAACATGCGTTCGCTTCTCGGAACTGCCACCATGTGACAACCACTAAAACCAATTTAAAAGTGCAGATTTATTTAACTTATAAAACTTTACTGTCGATTTAGCATTAACTACCCTTGTAAAGATCATATAGTGTCTAAGCCTTATTTTTTACTGTGATTTCCCGCAAAAAAAAAATCAGCTTGTTCAGGCACTGATGTTAGCAGTAGTGCACTGAGGACTTCGACATATAAATCTTTAAAAAAAAATAAAAACTACAAAATAATAAAACAGTATGAAAGCACAAGTTTGTTTCGTAAGCCATGTAATCTATGTTAACATTACATTACTTTTTTTTAAAAATTATTGTTAAATGTGGCTTAAATGGGCTATTAGCCAAGCTAGCGTTAGCTAAAGCAAGTGCGCCTTTTTAACTTTAGCAGGCAAGGTCAAGCTATCAACTAGCTAGCTAAGAGAAAGTTAGCACAGTGGTGACTGGTGAGCCGCCGTACCAATTAAGAAGTTAACAAGTACAATAACCTGCATCACTAAGACTGTTGTGCTACATTATCGGGTGCAGAAATTTAACAGTGGAACTTACCATGTCTAAAACCTGACCAGACACACTGAAAGGTACGCCGTCGACCTTGTTCTGCCCGACAACAGTGACCTCCACCCGTGGTGAAACCACGCCCACCCTGTCCACGTGACTAACTAAAGCAGGACGTGAGTAATGTCATTATTTTCATAATTTTGTTAAGTTAAATAGCATGGAATAATGAAATAACTGCAAATTAAAATCTCTCAATCATATGTAAACTTATATGAAAAGTTTTGATGACTCACAATTTGACTCGGTGCTGTGTTTTACACATGCAACAGAATTTATGTGAGATATATAGTATTTGGTATTTTGCATGCACTATATATATTCATCGTTTTACAGCAATGTTAATGCTATATCAGAAGTATATTTGATGTGTGGTATATTCTATCATAAGACATTTTGTTCGGATACCATCCCGAATGAGATCAACGGTGTTTCAGTTTATGGTACATGATGATTATTCTTGATTTAAAGCCTTGACAGAGCAAACGGCAGATAGACTGAGGTAGAGTGTGTGCAGATATATGTAATATGTGAGTGGCGGATTAATACGTGCTACAACCGCAGCATTTCCAAGCCACAAGTTACAACAGCGGGACTTTTAAATTGAAAATCTAACCTGGCGCTGCTCAAAAATCCTGCCAGTGTTGCCAACTTAGTGACTTTGTCGCTATATTTAGCGAGTTTTCAGACCTCCTTAGCGACTTCTTTTTTTCTAAAAAGCGACTAGCGACAAATCTGGCGACTTTTTCTGGTGTTGTTGGAGACTTATTTATGACGACTTTTTGCTGTGAAAAGGCGTATCGCTCTCAACAAGCAGCGGGTGCTGCTATGGGGCGCCGTTTGTAAAGTGAAACATGCTGAAATTAACGGCAACATTTTTCCACATTTAGCTCAAAACCTTACAAAAACATGTTTTTTCGAGTAATTTTTTT